AAAAAATGGAATTTTGGTCTGTAGCACCTACACTAAACACCCTGTATATTTGAAAATTATATCAAAATATAGCTCTCATGAACTCCTAAAACTTTTGTATGAAACATTTTTGTGTATCTCCTTCAACAAACCAGATATTTCCTGTCACATAAAATGTGGGACACCCGGTATATATTCAGTCATCCTGTTTTTTAACGTCTGTATCACGGATACATAATTTTGTCAAGTTTGATTAGATGCAAGCTACAATAAACCCTTGCAGGTTGCAATGGCGAGTCCAATGAACCCATTCAGTTGAGAACCTAACCTAGTAATCAAATTTTTCTTTATATCTTTTAGTTTTACTCAATGATTTGTGGAACTTTTTGACTCTTTCCAAACTATTATATCAGTTTTGAAATTTATTTATTTCAGGGGGTGAAATATCAAGTACCAGCCAGAATGTCGGTCAACCAAACCTGAACATCTCGAATTCTAATATAACGATAGTTACCAAGGACGAACAAGAACCATCAACAAGTAACGTTAACATCGAAAATATTCCAGTAGTCGGTACCCATACATGTGATCTTTGTGGTAAAATGTTCCAGTTTCGTTACCAACTAATTGTGCACAGACGTTACCATACTGAACGTAAACCTTTTACTTGTCAGGTATGTGGAAAGGCTTTTACTAATGCCCAAGAACTCACTCGACATGGTAAATGTCATTTAGGTGGTAGTATGTTCACGTGTGCGGTGTGTTTTCATGTGTTTGCCAACGACGCTTCGTTAGAGCGTCACATGAAACGGCATTCAACCGATAAACCGTATGGGTGCACTCTGTGTGGAAAGACTTTCGCAAGAAAGGAACATCTCGACAACCACACAAGGTGCCATACCGGGGAAACTCCGTATAGATGCCAGTACTGTGCTAAAACGTTCACGAGGAAAGAACACATGGTGAACCACGTGAGGAAACATACTGGCGAAACTCCACATCGATGCGAAATTTGTAAGAAATCTTTCACGAGAAAGGAGCACTTTATGAACCATGTAATGTGGCATACGGGAGAAACTCCCCATCATTGTACTATATGTGGAAAGAAATACACTAGGAAAGAGCACTTGGCCAATCATATGAGGGGCCACACTAATGACACCCCGTTCAGGTAATTTGATTCGAAATTGAATTTACAGGATGAGAAAATTTCCAACTAATCCGTTACTATTTACAGGTGTGAAATTTGTGGGAAATCTTTCACGAGGAAAGAACATTTCACGAATCACATCATGTGGCACACGGGCGAAACCCCCCATCGGTGTGATTTTTGCTCTAAAACGTTTACTCGGAAAGAGCATTTGTTGAACCATGTGAGGCAACATACCGGCGAATCTCCGCATCGATGCGGACATTGTGCCAAGTCCTTCACAAGAAAAGAACATTTGGTTAATCATGTTAGGCAGCATACAGGTAATGATTGTTGTTTTTTTTTGACCGTTTTCAATTGAAATATCATGTTTTCAGGAGAGACACCGTTCAGATGCAACTTTTGTCCGAAAGCCTTCACAAGGAAAGATCATCTTGTGAATCATGTTCGCCAACATACTGGAGAATCGCCACACAAGTGCACCTATTGCCCGAAGTCGTTCACTAGAAAAGAACACTTGAATAATCATGTACGACAACATACAGGAGAGTCCCCTCATAGATGCCACTTTTGTTCTAAGTCTTTCACTAGGAAGGAACACTTAACTAATCATGTCAGAATTCATACAGGTTTGTACTTTTATTTTCGAAAATTAAGTAAGTTTTTTCGAATCGAAAACTGTGTGCTTCAGATGAATATTGTATAGAGCACTTAAAGTTTATTACTTATTATTATTATTATTATTATTGAACGGTTATTAAACAAATGTGACGTGGTAGTGAATGAATCAAAATATTCTCAATAGAAGAATTGGAAAGGTGAAAGAGAATAATCGAGGAACTGTTTTTCTGTATTGTTGTTATTAACTGTTTTTTTCAAGTACAAATAAAGCAAAAAATGGCGGCATTCCTTCCCCTTCTATTTTATGTGCTGCACGCGACAATATAACTATTATTAACAAAGATACATCTTAGTGCCCTTCTGACATGCCGCTGTTTTTGTTTTTTCTTTGTTGGTAAATTCTGCTTTCCTTTCCCTTTCATTTGATGTGCTGCACATCACGATGCAACTATTATTAACAAAGATGCGGCTTAGTGCCCTTCTGACATGTTGCGCCATCTTTGTTTTTTCTTTGTTACAAGTGATTCATTTTCACAAATCGTCACACATTTTTTACCGCCGCACCACCTCTCCCCTACTTCAACTTCATTTAATACAACTACCCAACAGATATTTGTTCCCTCCATCCTGATTGGCTGACCGACATCACTTTATATCATAAATTAGGTTGGGTGTTCCACAAGAATCCGTTCGGAGGTCCGAAAATGACTAAAATGAAGAACCATAAGAAAAAGCCTGTGATTTTGAAGTTGAATCTGTGTAGTATCTTTATTTAAAAAATTATTGGGTTGTTTTGATAGCCAATTCAAATATCAATGAAATCAAGTCTAATCTAAAAAATCTTGTTATTGTTTCATGACGTAACTACTTACCTTAGCAAAAATAAGTTATTAACACATTCTCTGCAAGTTCAGGCAAAATGTATGGGCTATTTTAAATATAATGAAACGAACAACGTTGTAATATGTCACCCCAATATATAAATCAGGTCAAAACTCCGGCGTGTGTAATTATCGTCCAGTTTCCATTCTTAGCGCAATCCCTAAAGGGACCGAACAATTCGGATTTACATTCAAAAGTCAGCTGAACTGGGTCTGATTACCTACATTGATTTTCTGTCTGACACTGTCTAAGGGTTTGCAAGTTGACTCTGCGTACACTGATTTCTCCAAAGCTTTTGACAAAGTTAATCATGAGCTATTGATTCATATGCTTTGTTTATATGGTGTTGATGGGCAAATATTGCAGTGGCTCAAGAGGTAACTTAAGGAAAGAACACAAATTGTTAGAGTTAATCATTATTATTCTCATACCATCACAGTTACATCGGGTATTCCACAAGGTTCACATTTGGGACCACTGTTTAACCTTTTTATCACCGATCTAATCAGCTGTTTCCATGAAAGCGAAGCTTTGCTATTTGCCGAAGATTTAAAATGTTTCAAAATAATCAAAAGTGAAGCTGATACATTGTGTCTATAAACTGATATAGATTGCCTATCTAACTGGTGTTCGCAAAATGGTATGTGTTTGAATGCATCCAAATGCCAAATTCTTCGCTTTCATCGAACACATCACCCAATCATTTTCAAATATAGTATAAATAATCGGACCTTACATTCTGCTATTGAAACCAAAGATCTAGGTGTGATCCTAGACTTCACACTTAGCTATAAATCACACATTTCCGCTGTAATTGAAAAATCTATGAAGATGCTTGGCTTCATAAAGAGAACCACTCGTTATTTCACCAACATCACTGCTATTAAATCACTTTATTTTTCTCTGGTTAGATCTCATGTCGATTATTGTTCCACAGTTTGGTCCCCTCTTTACATTACACAAAAAGTGAAACTCGAGACCGTACAGCACAATTGCCAATTGCATTTTGAACATACCTGCTCTTGAGGCTCGCGGAAAACATAGAGATTTAATACTTCCATTCAAAATTATTAACGGGCTGAGTATCAGTCCCGAGCTTCTCTCCAAAATATCTTTGTATGTCCCTAGTCGTTCAACTAGACAGGTGCAAACGTTTCACGTTTCTTTTCACAGATTTAATTATTCATATAACAGCTTTATCCCCAGAACTCTTTGATTGGCTAACTCTTTAAATAACCTTCAAATCTTTAATATATCAGTATCCCGCTTTGAAAACCATATTCTTCACTTAGCCATCTAATACTCTCTGCTTGTGTTGTTGTATTGTGTTTAATGTTACTTGCCTGTAAGAATTATATTAGTTCATATTGTTATACATTTTAATTTTTTCTTAAACAATCTATTTGTTATCTTACTTCAGAATTGTATTATTGTTATAACTTACTTTTAATCTACTGTATTGCATTAAGTACTACATAACACTGTACTACTTATATCTGAATTGGGCTTGCCCGTGTATATACATAAATAAATAAATAATATTTAGCACTCATTTTGGTGATGGACAGGAACATGAACAATTTTAGTAACTAAGCAGGTTTTCAAATGAGTTGTATCATATACTCAAACATGATGAAGCGTATATATGCACTCACAGACAGAAATATTGCATAATTTATTTCAAGCCTTGATTTCATGTTTATTTCTATTTGTCTGAATCTTCATGCAGTTTTCATTACTAAATGGTAAATGCTGAAGTATTTAACGTATATTGATTGTGAAATAATCCAGATATTGAAACTTCATAACACACTTGTAGAAGTAATGGAATAGACTAGTTTAGGTAATAATATCTAATCAGAACAAGCAACAATGACAACATAATAACAGTATTTAGTGTTTTCTCCCCTAGCTCTAACGATAGCCTGCATCCTCCAGGGCATACTCCGCAAAAGGTCTTTGATGGTTTCTTGTGGAATTCGATTCCATTGTTCCTGTGTAACAATTCTTAATTCTGCAATTGAGTTAGGAGCTGGATTTCGTGCTCGTATATGCCTTTTTAGGATGTCTCAAATATGTTCTATGGCATGCGCCTCAGGACCGTTTGGTGGCCACTCCACTGCCTCAAGTCAAACAACTTTAAGATACTACGTGACTGTTCTTGCAGCATGTGCACGAGCATTATCATGTATTAGCACAAAATTGTTGTAACCAATAAAGCAGCCGTAAGGTAAAACATGCTCTTCAAGGATATTGCCTATGTACCAGTCAGCATTCATTCTCTATAAGCTCGGCGCGATTGTCTCAACTAATGCCACCACACAACATAATGGAACTATCACCAAAGCTAATGTACAAGATTACATTCTGCGAAACGTTCTCCATATCTTCTGTATACTCATTCCAGTTGACATGGGCTATGGCAAATTGTAATAGTCTAGATTTATGACGTGGGAGAAGCCTAGGAACCCTGGCAGGGCGTTTTGGATTTAAACCAACTTCGTCAAGTCTTCTTATTACTGTCTTGACACTTACGCTAACTTGTCTTGTGCTCAGTAAATCATTTCTGAGATGCAGAGCTGTAAGCGTGCGATTTCTCAAAGATTGAATTTTCATATATTGGTCATCTCTTGGCGTTGTACATTTCTTGCGTCCTTGACTAGGCCGCCTTTTGTACTCCCCAGTCTCATTGTATCGCTTCATAATATGAGAAACTGTCGATTGATAAATATGCAATACTGGACAAAAGGTACTGGACAAAAGTACCTGGCAACAAACACAGTAGAACCTTCATTAGGGAACCGTTCGAGAAAAGAACCGAAGAACTACTTCAATATAGTTGGGATCGGCTCAGAATAATTACAGGGCTACTAACCGGTCATTGTCCGTTTGGAGGACACCTGAATAAAATGGGGCTGTACAACGGAGACCTCAGCTGCAGATTATGCAACAAAGGGATAGAAACAGCTCTATACATCTTATGCGAATGTGAGGCACTGAATCACAGGAGGCAGGCTATATATGGACGTACAAAACTACGCCCAGAAGAATATGATGAACATCCAACACGGAACCTGTACAAACTAGTATAGGGAACGAGACTGATGGAATTGGTGTCATGAGAAGATGGGAGAATAAACGCAATAAGCCCAAAAGGCCGCAGTGGTTTCTGGAGACTTGGACAAAATGGACAAGTCAGACAGCTCCCAAGGTACAAAAAAAAAATCGTTCACTGACTAAAGTAACAATTTTAACACAAACTGATTCGCTCAAATGCGGCATCACACTAAGAAAACTACAGAATCAAGTCATAAATACTGGAAATGTCATTCTGACAACAATAAACAAAAAAATAGACATTGATAGTGCCTTTATTCAAAGTTTGTAATTTGTACCATTATCTAAGGTTCTCACGGACAGGAATATGCTGAACCGACTATAAAACTTACAAACTAATGAGTGTATTTGACAAATAAGTAAATTACGTACACAAAAATTCGGTCACATTATAAAAAACTACCATAGAAAAACATATCTCAAAAACAAATAATCCAGTCAGAGTCAAAATGTTCAGTTTTTTAAAAGGATTTCTGCAAGAGTGTTGTCTTGATTTTCCTGCTAAGCACCTTACGATTCTTTTTTGTGTAATGAATGTGTTCCTAGAATGTATGGAGTTGCCCCAGAAATGAATACCATATCTCAAATGAGATTCCACCTGCACATGGTAGAAGTTCATTAATTGTTTTCATCAAGTGTTCATGAGAGAGAAGAAATTGAGTAGTTTCGGTTTTTTCCAAGTTGTGCCTGGAATTATTCGAAATTTTTTAAATTTGAATAAGCTCTTAAATGGGCAACTTTTTCCTTATTTAACCTACCTTGTATCTTCCACGTTTTCTGATAGATAGATAGATAGATATCTTTATTTATTTCACAGAGTATTTGTAGTCCTACATGAACACAGTGGCAGAATACGTTGTTTGTAAAAGTACATCAACAAAATACAAAATCTTAAAATAAAAATAACTATAACTCAAAATCTTTATGTGATGGAAAATTTTTTATGTTGAAGTCGCTGTCAGGATGCTTTAAACTCTCATGTTTAGCCATTATATTATTAGTCGCAATTTTGTTTCTTATTTGTTGGCTAGTGTAATCAATTAAAATAACTCCATGACTATCCCAAAAAACAGTCGCCATCACTTTCCCAGCCAAAAAATAGTTTTTGCTTTTTTTTGGAGCTGATTCCCATTTTGCAGTCCACTGTTTGGACCGTATTTTTGTTTTGGGGTTATAACAGGACTCTGTTGTGATGATATGGCCCGGTTGCAGAAAGTTACAATAAATCACACCAGCTGCTGACCACCATACAGTAGCTATGGTCTTTTGGGAAGTGCCTGGGTGGCATATCTGTTATAGGGGATCCACTTTTCATTACTCCTGACGATCTGATCCAAAAAAGAAACGTTTTCATTGCGCGAAAGCAAAGAAGAACAGACCTCGAAACGTGACAATTTTTGTCGATCGTTCAAATCGAGTTTTTCGCCCTCCTTAATACTTTTGAAACAATCAAAAACCGCATGGGAGCTGACGCCGAGTTCTTTCGCCATCCCACGCACTGTTTGTGATAGGCCAGTCTCCACTAGGGTCCCGAAATTCTCGGCCTGGATTACTGTAGGTCGACCAATTGGAGGTTGAAATCTCCATAACGAAATTTTGCAAACCAACGTCGAACATTACGTTCATTAACAGTTTTGGGCTGTATCACATAGTAATGAGCTGAAAAGAGGCAAAAAATTAAAATTTGTTAGANCTTTTTAATTCAAGAAAATGATCTTAGGTACGAATGGAAAATTCTGAAAATAATCAACATCAGTCTAACAGTGAAGCGGAAGCCTTGTCTGAGACTATACAAATAGTAAAAGACGAGAAAACATTTCAAAACTGCAAGCTTCTTCCCGGAACTCAATTTGGACTGCAGGACATCAAAGCAAATATGATGGATGTGAGGACGGCCGATGGAAGTATAGTAAAAATTCAGACGAATATGCAGGAGCAAGAATTAGTGAAGACTTTGGGCGTAGATATTGTTAATAACATGTACAAGGTCAATGTGGATGACTTGAACCAGTTATTAGCCTATCATGAGATTTTTGGAAAACTACAAGGTGGTCAGGGTAAGGGAAATATATTTTTGGTATATTTTTCAATCATTCCTATTTCAAACGGTTTTATTTAGTTTGCCCTGTTTGTTTGGGTTAAATTTAGTAATTAAAGTTTGACCCCCTTCCTGTTGACAAATTCATCTAATATTTGGTACACACATTTAGTTTTGATGGTAGTACAATAAATTCTGTCAATCAAATGACAGTAGAATAGTAGTACACTGTGAAATAGATGGAAATTCAAGATGGTCGCAGCTACAAAATGTCGGATTACATATTATTTTTAGCAGTTTCAAGCAAAGTTCAATTACGGGACGGCTGAAAGAAGGATGTTACCTTTAATTTTGCCATGGGCTTCCACTGTCTAAAAATGCAAGGCAGCACTGTAGACCACGCAGTTGTGTATTTGGACTCGAAATTGTTTGAAGAAGGACAAGCATACGTGGTATTGAGTTAGATTGCAACAAATTGATGGGAAATTAACCTTGTGATACTGAGGCATTAAATGAACTCAACAGAATGAGAATAATTCAGTAATAAAATTAGAAACCGAAAATTTGAAATTAAGTAAAAAAAGAAAATAACGATATAGATAATGTACTAAAAGCTAAAAAAAAATCGGAAGGTCCTAGGTAGCAGTCATCACACCACTCTCCTCAGCAATCCACTGTATTGATCAGATAAAATAGACAAATAGAATCTTTGGGCGTAGTATTTACATGTTTACTAAGGTTATGCAACACCCAACGATTTTATTATTTTTTTATCTGATTAATAACGTAGATTGCTGAGAAGAGTGGAGTGATGACTGCTACCCAGAATCTTTCGAATCACTTTTTAGTTTTTAGTGCATTATCTTTTTTCAATAAAAACCGTTTTACTTTGTGGCGTACTTACTTGAAAAATAAAATTTCATTAAAAAACATTTTCAACATCAATTTTATCTACGTCACAACCAAGGCGTGGATTCGATTTTTTGAGATTTGATTGAAAAATTAAAATGTTCTTTAGTAAGCTGA